TAGACCTGGATACTAAGGACAGTACATGTCAAAAGCTGTCTACAGTCAAAAGTGAGCTTAAAAAACAAAATGCATATTCTCAAATATGCAAATTAAAATGACTAATGAGCCAGTGGCTCATACATGAATCTTAGCAGTCAAGAAAGAAGTAGAGGCAGGAGCATCATGAGTTCAAAGCCAGCCAGGAATACATAGAAAGTTCCATGTCAGCCTAGGATATATAATAAGACCCATCCCAGGAGAGAAAAATAAAAAGATTTTAAAAGAAAAAAATTTAATTCAGTAGGAATCCTGAAAGAAATGAGGGAGAAATCAACAGGACTAAAAAGAATATTTTTTTTTCTAAAAGGCAGGAAGGCAGGCAGGATGGAAGGAAAAGAGGGCTTAGTAGTGAGAACAAATATGGAGATCAAAGTTGAGGTGCTAGCACTCAGGCAACAAGTCAGACATCCTGTAAACTCTGATAACTCCAGGTCCAGGGGTGAGGCAAAGGCAGGGCTTGCTGGCTTCCAGCCTAGTTGAGAAAATGCAAGCCCTAGATTCTGAAAGAGGGACCCTACTTCTAAAAGAATAGGTGGAGAATGACAGAGGAAGGTGCCTGGTGTGTTCTTCTGTCTTCTACACACACACATGCACATACACACACACACACACAGACACACATATACACACATATATACACACACAAAGACACACATACACACATATACATGCATATACATACATATACTTACACATACACAAATACATAAAGACATACACATGTATATATACACACATATACATACACATGCTTGCATAGGCATACCCACACACACCCATATATATGCATGAATGTATACTAACACAAACATACACATACATGCATAAATAAATATTTTAACAATCTAAATAAGTCAAATAAAAATGGAGCCAGGCATGATGGTGTATGCCTATGGTACCAGCTGCCCTGGAAGCTGAGACAGGAGGATCATTTGAGCCCCAGAGTGCCAGACTAGCTAGGGCAAGACACTGAGACTCCATTTGAATATAGAATACAGTGACAACAAATAGAAAAAAAAATCAAACAATATATATCATTTATCGATTGAAGAAATAGAAAATAAAAAGGAGTAAGGAAGAGAAAGCTAATTCCTTGCAAAGATTAGTAGGCAAGCTTCTACCGTGGCATGAACGGACTTGATCTGCCTCCATCAGCATCGATAAGGCTGGAAGCCATTACTAAGAATGTTAAGTGTAGGCTGCCCAATACGAAATATTTGTGCAGACTTTAAATACGGAAACCACAACATGCGGCTCACACTCTACAAGAGAGCGGGATATGAAGGAGCCACATCAGCATCTGGAGAACGTGGCAGACAGAAGACAGTGTGAGGGCGGTGAACGTTCACTTGTCTCTGAAACAACTACAGGCAGACATTAACAAGGCTTACGACAAAGTGCTCAGAGAGAGGCTCTATGTTTTTGGTTCAGCGTGGTGTCTTTCCCTGATATTCCACTACTAAAAATAAATTGCACTCTGTTTGTTTATTTCGTTATTCTCCCATGCCCAACCAGCCTGTGAGGGACCAGAGGGCCAGTGAGAGGGAAAACCTAAGCCTGGGACCTTCAAGGGAACGTTTCAATCTTGAAAAACAAAACCTTGGGTTTTGTTTGTTTTGTTTCGTGGATTTGCTTATGAGAAGGATGTCAGGAACAAGTGTGGCCACCAGAATCTCTGAGTCCCTGCTCAGTGCTCAGTGCCTGTCTGTCCTAAATCTAGACCCGGGACATTGGAGCAATGGCATCTTGACAATGAAGAATGAGCATATGGATAAACTAACCATGGTAGATGCAGAAATAGCCAACTGTTTACTAGTGTCTGAGTGCCAGTACATACTGACTCGGCCCTCCTGAAAGCTCAGGAAGACATTGCTCAGTCTAGAAGTGAGAAAGTAATGCCAGAGTGGCTGTTGTTCCAAACTTGTCTGAGATCTCCAAAGGAAACATGGAGGTAAGTGCCCTTAGTCACATCTCTCAGCAGTGGATATGGTACCAACCCTGACACTTGCACTGTTGGCCAACAACAACTGGGAGAAGAGGGCGAGACGGCCACCATCATTTCTGTAGAGAATGGTAAATGCATGCTGTGGTAATCTCCATGCTACAGATAAGAAAAACAAAAAACAAAAAACAAAACAAAAACAGAGGCTGGGAAGAACTGAATTGTTTCCTGTCCCCAAGTCCCCAAGTCCCAACCACCCCCTACCCCCACTGCCTCACAATATAGCTGTGTGAATAGATAGTTTTTCTGTAAGTAACTGAAAAATGAAGTCACTAAAGTAGGTCCCTGAGAAGACACACAGACAGGAGCTGAACATTTAAGAACAAAGGAGAGAGGTCTGCAACAGAGTGTCTCTCACAGCCTTAGAAAGACCAACCTGGCCAACCCTGATCTCGAACTTCCAGCCTCCACAACTGTGGAGAGGTTTAAACCGCCTCCAGTGGCATTTTGTTATGGAAGTCCCAGCAGCCTGAGACAGAGATGGAAATTTGTCAAGTCTCACTAAAAGGAACCAGAATTGAGCCTCTGACACAAGTCTTCCTTCTGTCTCTGTGGCATAACAAGCATTAAACATTAGTATCTACAATTAGTGTTCATAGAAAAACATCTTGCAAATTATATGCAAATAGGTATACAAAATACTAAGTTGGAGAAACTCAAAGTCGCAGTTTAATTCCATTTTTGGCATATGTATTGCATGGGATATGTGCATACTTGCATGTATGTGGATACATGTGGAGGGGTGTACATGCATGTCTATGCATGTGAGTATACAGGCCAGAAGTGACATAGGATATCTTCCCCAGTCACTCTCCACCTTATGTTTGAGGCAGGATCTCTCACTTGAACCCAGAGCTCATCAATACAGCTGATGCCACGGGCTACTGCGGATCATCCATCATTAGCATGGGTGCTGGGGATCTGACCTCCACCCCCTCATTCATTGAATGACAAAGGCTTTGCCTGCTGAGCCACCTACCCTGTCCCCATCCATTTCTTATTGCAGAAAAGATACAGAACATAAAAGACCACTGTTCCCAGCAATTATCATTATATTATTATTATTATTATTATTATTATTACTAAAACCTCTCCAATGACTTAACATCTCAAAGTCAAGACCAGTGGTTCTCAACCTTCCTAATGCTGAGACCCTTCAACACAGTTCCTCATGTTGTGGTGACCCGCACCCCCATCCACAAAATTACTTCCTTTGCTACTTCACAACTCTAATTTTGCTACTGCTATGAATCGCAATGTAAAAATCTGATATTTCTGATGACCTTAGGTGACCCAGTGAAAGGATCCTTCAATCTCCCAGGCTGAGAACCACTGGTCTAGAGGAAGCAATCTCAGAGGAATTAGCCCTTCCTAAGTGAGCAAGGACCAGCTGTCACTCTTCTCCCGGGTCCAGGTGGACAGAGAGGAGCTGATCAGCTTAAATTATTCACTGTGGAAACAGGAAGGAAGTGGGCCTATATCGACTGTGGGGCTAGAAAGCTAGCTTAGGCCAAGGTAGAGTGCCATATAAATCTACACAACCACATGTTAGCCTAGACTGTGGTGGCCTGCAGGAAGTCAGGCCAGGGATAGCAGGCAGAGTGGTGGCCCACAGTCACCTGGGGAATGGGATCTACACTCTTTCTGAAGCAGGTATGATTGATTCTGACTCCACATAGTTGAATGCAGTGGTAAACTGACAGTAACGCAAGCTGGCCTGCCTCAAATCCCAATCGGTAGAAGGCCTTACCCCTCACTGGAGCTGCCTCTGTCAGCTGACAGGTATCACTAAGAGATTACATAAAGACGCACTAGGTCAAGCGTAACCTGAAGCCCAGCCTCTGGCTTCACCCATCAACCCTGTAAGCTCAGGCCAGTGTTTCTAGTATTTAAGTCAGTTTGATCACCTCTGTTTCTAACTAATGAATCATAGTTGAGATAAAACCCAAGTCCTGGCCTGTAATGATCCGTTCTGCCCCACGTTTGGGGGGGCCACTTTGTCCCGGCCGGAGCTGCTGTTCCGGTCCGCGGGTCAGGGTCTAGCAAGAGAGAGAGTGGGGAATGGAGGGGCGAGAGACACGAAGAATGGAGACAAGACAGAGGGTCTGATCAAGTCTCTCCTTATTGAAAGGAAATCCTGGGTATTTATACCCTTTACTACGTGCCTTGCCCTCGTGGACAAGCAGGGGAACACAGCTGAAGGAACTATGTCATGTGCCTTGCAGCGTGGATACCACACGCGCCTTGCAGCTGGGGGCACTAAACAGCAAAACAAGATGTTTATCAGAGTGTGCTCAGCTGTCGTGGGCTGTTGAAAACAAGTCTCTTGTCAGGGTATATGGCTCGAGATGGCTGCAAACATGATAGCCGCTTTCTGCTACGAGTCGGCTCCCAACACTGACCAGCTATGTATTAGCATATCTATGCATGATTAGACATATAAATGTTTATACCAATTAGCAATATAAAATTTCTGAAAAGCTGTGCTATCTTCAAGACACTCATCAAAAATGACTTTTATTACTGTATGGGCACTAGACAATGCTAGAAAACAACTAATGGGTTCACAAAGAAATGATATCAGAACTTTGTAAACATGGCACAGTGCTGTGTAGACCCCACTATGGAGTAGATTTATATTCTAATGAGCTTGCTATTGCTCAAAACTGTGACAGAATTCCTCTTTTTAAAATGTCCCATTGTAAACTTACTTTAGTTGGATTTTTTTTGTTTTTTTTGGTTTTTTTGTTTTTTTTTTTTTCTTACTTCTGCTGCCTTCATGTGACACCGATGACAGTAAAGAACTCAATCAGGCGTAAAAGACAAAGCTTTGAGGTCTTTGAATTTTAAAATTCAAAGAACCTGTCCACGTATCTGAAGTACCATTTGAGCTTTCAAAAATAGCCAAAGGCCTTCATGATTGTACCCGAAATAAAAAAGTTTGTAGATTCCATACTTTCTTGCCATATTGCAAACTAGAGTTTTACTTCATGACCAGTATATAGAAGCTCTAAAAAGAAATGTCCAGGGAAAAGCATCAGCCTCTTCCTTTACCAGGAGCCCACTAGAGCTTCCCAGAAATGCTAGCCCAATAGTATCTCTGGGAAGGAGGTTCTTCCTCCTCCCAGTGTTCACTGGCTGTGTTTGCCTCTCTGGTTCCTATCCTATCCAGACACAAGCTACTAGAAGGTTACTGAGTTCATCTCTCAGGTGGGTTCAGTGATTCGGGGTAGACCTGTTAAGATTCCTCCTCACCAGAAGGAAACAGGCCAGTCTGGGGTCAAGAATCAAGCAGTAAAGGGTTCACCATGGTGAAACCTATAGCCATTTATTTCATCTAGACAGACCACGTTACTCTGGAAAGTTTGGATTAATCTGATCAACCTTTATAGAAAACTTCAAGAATGTATTTTGCTAGTGTGCCAGGAAGTTAATTTTCTCCAAGTTCTAAAGTGCAGGGTTAGAAAGCTAATCCAAATAAGAAAGGTCTTATTAGCTAAGTCCAATAAAAGGCCAACGTCTTTCTCAACACAGCAGAAGCAAGGACCAAGGATGACATGCAAAACAAAAGGGAACCAAAGCATGGTATACTTCTGTCTCCACTGTCACACCCCTACCTCATATGTAACCTGTGTCACATACAAGCGTTCCTGCACCTCAGAGGACACTGGCATAAGTCTTGAGGGAAAGGAAGGAAAGACCACTTTTGAGGCAAATTCTGAGATTTCTCTGCAGCCTACATAGCAGCAGTTAGCTCAGTCTCTGCCACATCTGCCCCACCCTGACTCCCCATTTTATTTCTTCCGTTAATGGCTCAACAGTCTCAGAATGTGTTCCAAAATTAGCTGTGAGCACAAAAAACGCAAACACAAGCACCATTTGTTATTTGCTCAGCAATTCTAGTTGCTGCCCCATCAAAGAGGATGGAAGCAGGTCATCAGATAAACATCCCATTAGCTCACTGGCAGACATACTGGGCTGCAGGTCACAGACTGGCAGCTGATGGGTGCTCACTTGAGTGAGGCGAATAAATCCCATCTGCCCTTCACTTCACTACTGTGTGGCCCTATGTGACAGTCCTCAGCTGAGAAAATTCGCCCTCAATGGCCCACAGAGGCAGCTTTCCCATTGGGTACTGTTTGCAGGAGCATCCAACCTGCAGGCCACATGCATGTCAGAATAACTATGGATCTGAGGATACTTACAGATTGATGTCATGTCCCAACCTCACGGGTTGAGCATCCCTGCTTGGGGGTGGTGTTTATCACCAGGCAAATGCTACAACTACCTGGGGGACTGTTATCGTGGTCAGATGCTCAGGTTATGCTCCAGACCAGCTAAAGCAGGGAGGTGTGAGCAGCTGGCCAAGCTCTCCAGGTGATACCAACACACCATCAGGACTGAGAAGGAGAAGAGTCACAGCCTCTGAACCCGTGTAAGTAGGTCAGCTGCAGACAGCACACAAACATTCACAGACGGTTAATAGCTGTTCACGATAAAGCAAATAACGGGGTGAGGGGGGATAAATGATCCAATGAAGCTGACCTATCAAGTTCATTCGTCAAAAAACCCTGAATCCCATTAAAGAACATTTTAGTGACTATTAATGATACACTGAAGTCTGTGTTCCTTGTTAAGGGTGTGGACAGCAATTAAGAAAAACCCTGTAATTGGGGCAGCAGTCTCTCTCCTTGGACTCGCTCATCCTGTTTGCTGCTAACCCTCCCTGCCACAGGCAGACGGCCTAAGAGGGAAACAAACAACAAGCCTCCGGCAATGGCTGAGCTGGACTGCAAAGCAATCCTGACTTATTTCCAAGGAAACTAGAGCACCAAACAGAGCCACAGTGCATCTAAACTCTCAACAGTGAAAGCAGGACCCAGCCAGGAAGACACACTACCTGAAGATGCAGGTTCTCCAACTTTGCTAGGGAAAGTGTTTTAGGCACACTGTTAGTAATACAGCACAAGGAGATATACTTAAATACCCAACAGCCCACGGTTGTTCAAATGAAGGTGTAGAATGGACCCAGATTCCAAGTCATGTTTTTAAACCCTGACACCCAAGTCACAACTCAGTTCAGGATATGAGAGAACAGCTAAGTAAATGATACCGGGGGTAGGGTGGGGTATATATAAGCATGTTTTCAATGTGTCTGCATGTGTGTGTATGGATGCATGTGCATACCTATATTGATGCTAGAGGTTCACATCAGGCAACTTGCTCAGTCACGCCTTTACATTTTGAGACATTGTCTCACTGAACCTGAGACCCACCAATTCAGCAAGGCTAGCTTGCCAACCATGCCCAGGAACCCACCTGTCCCTGCTCCCCAGTGCTGGGATTACAGACATGCACCGTCATCCCCTGCTCTTTATGTGGGATCTAGGCCCTCACGATTGTGTGCCATGAACTTTACCAACTAAACCATCTCCTCCATTCCCTAAATGACACTTTTTCAGTGGTGGTTTTCACACCAGATCATGCATCTGAATGCCCCAGTGACTGGACCAAGCTGTGGCCCTCTAGATATTGCAGGTCTGCCGTGAGGCTAGAGGATGTATGTATTGAAAAGTTTCCAGGTGATGCAGAATGCCGCTGGCCCAGGTTTCATGGGTTGCCCAAGCAACTCTCATTATAGCATCCAAGGCTGAAGACCAACATATAAAAAAAGCAGGAAAGCTCAGAAGGAGGTCTCATCAGAGTAGGGAACATTGTATCCCAGCCATGCTGCCAACCTGGTGCTTGGTAATAAGGTGTTCTGGTATCTACTTGCTCTTGATGCTTAAAACTAAGGCTCTGAAGCCAGATATAATCTGGCACATCTTTAATCCCAGATCTCAAGAGTAAGAGACAGACAGATCTGTGAATTTAAGGCTAGCCTGGTCTACAAACCAAGTTCTAGGTCAGCCAGGGTTACACAGAGAAACCCTGACATGGAAAAAAACAAAACTAAGGAAATTTTAGAAAACTAAGGTTCCATTCCATGGCAATCCTGCATTCCTTGCAGAAATAAAACTTTTTCAAGGGGCAGTTATGCATGAAATGTTAACACTAACATACACCAAAAGAAAGTGGCTTTGGGGACAATAGTGCAGCTTCCAAAATATTCTCAGATGCCAGTAACATTGTTTCTATTAACAACAGATGATAAATACATCTGCAGTCCTATAAGATTCTACCACCTGACAACATTGTAGCCATCTTAATCTAAGTGCATAACTCTATGATGTTCATGCAGGAAGGAAATGGACTAATAAAATCCTTCTCGGAATTATGGCACTGCCATTGTGTGACATGTGACTGTGTAAAGAAGGCAAGTCCTGGCTTATGACCTCAGCCCACGTGACCCACAGAGTGTCAGCTGTGCATGTGCTCCATTCCAACCTCTCTGCTGTCTCGACTCACCTGTCACTACTTTGCAGCGTTGTTTGGGTCCCTCGACCTCGGTAGATGAGGTGGGGGTGGAGGACCATTTGCGTCTGATCAAATGCTCTCTTCCGCTGAATGGGCCCCCTGAGTTGTTGAGGGGCTGGATGAACACCTGCTCCTGCTCGAGCTGGATGAGGCCAACCTGCCCAGAAAGGAGAAGACAAGACATTGGTCATCCTCACTCACACATGCTCGTGGCCCCAGCAGTATGTTGGCTGTGCTTTGGTTCACCACATCTGGGCTTCTGCTTCCATCTGCTGCTGAGCCCCGTGACAATCTCCATCTGACTTAAGAATATTCCACTGAGTAGTTATGCTGGGAGGTTTGGATGGGTGGGTGTCTTAGATAAGGTTTCTACTGCTGTAATAATACACCATGACCAAAACCAACTTGATAGGAAAGGGTTTATTTCACCTTGCAGATCACAGTGCACGAGCACACACACACATACACACGCATGCATGTACAAGCATGAATGCATACACACATAAAAGTGCACTGTAGTGTGCATGAGAAGATCAGGGACAACTTTTGGGAGTCAGTGCTTTCTTTCTACCATGTAAGGCTTGCTGGCAAACATCTTTACCCACTAAGCCATCTTGCCAGCCCTGCCCTGCATCATTTAATCTCTCTCTCTCTCTCTCTCTCTCTCTCTCTCTCTCTCTCTCTCTCTCTCTCTCTCTC